GTGGTGTATATATACAATGGAATATTACTCAGACATCAAAAAGACAAAATTCGTATCATTGGCAGCAACATGGTTGGAGCTAAAAGGGATTATGTTAGCTGAACTAAGTCAGAAGGAAAAAGAAATGCTGCATGGTATCATTTGTATAGGGAATCTAGAGAAACCAAACAAAAGGTCCAGATAAAGGCAAAACTAGCAAGCTGACCATAGATCTGAGGAATACAGACAGCAAGGGAGGGGAAGAACACAAGGGAATATGTGATGGTTCATGGGTGAGATGGAGTTAGGAGAACTATGGGGTCTACAACCAAGTAAGAAAATTAAAAAGAATAAAATTAAAAAGAATATTGTGATCCAATAACCACAATTAGAGATGGTGACCACTGGGAGGAAGAGCTAGGTGGACCCCTCTGAGCTATATTATCAATTCTGAGTGATAAGGACAAGGAAGTTGTTTGTCCTTTCACCACTGGATGCTGGCACTGAAAACACAGGAGTTCAAAAAATAGTTTCTGAATATTTATGATGACTGTATTGTTTTTTTTTTCTTTTTTTAAAGATTTGTTTATTTATGCATACAGAGCTGGGGTGTAAGTCAGAGGCAGAGGATTCACCAGAGACAGAGTAGGTCAGAACAGGCAGACTGATGAAGTACACTGCTGAGGGGAGCAGCAGGCAGGTCAGGAAAGGTCAACTATGCCATGAGGGTCACCTCTTGGGCAGGGGGTTGAACTCGCACTGAGGTGACTGTGGCTAGCTTGCAGTGCTGCATCCTAACCTGTTGCGCCACCAGGGAAGGCCCTGTTTTTTTTTTTTTTTTCTTAACCTTTAAGATTCTGATTTCTAGAAAAATATAGAAATTTCTTGCTTTTTCAGTATACGAGATATGAAGACTAATATGAGGGATTTAGTCATTTGTTGGCTCTAAGGTGAAGCAAAGAAAGCAAAGATGATGGATAAAAATATTCTTTCTTGGTGACCATAAATTTTCTTTTATTCCTTCAACATTTCTGTACTCAACTGGAGATGACAATTTGAAACTCTCTGTTGTACTGCAATTATTTATACTAATTACCTCATTAGATTTTTAATCTGGTTTCTATAGGGGTTTACAAAGCAATAAGCTGATTAGAGTGATAAATTCTTAGAAAGAAAGGATAGCAAACCACCACTTCAAAAGTATTTTGATCAAAGATGACTTACTATTTAACTGACCCATACAATTCACCTCATTAAATAGAGTCTTCTTAATCTGACGAGGGAGTGGATACAAATTCGCTTTCATAGTGTAATAATTACTTTCCTCACTATTCACCAGAGATTGACAATCCGTAGAAAGCATTGGCAGCCAACAAATCAAATAGCATTATTCCATAGAAAGGATTCTAACAAATTTTGTGTTCCTTGTATTTTTAATCAATGCAAAGATGTCCATATTTAAAAACAAATCTTCATCCACCGATTTAAAGTAAGTAAAACAGTCTTGATGTAGGACCTGGACATTATTTGGAAATGAAAGTAGATTTTTAAGCTGCACACACAGAACATTTGACCTCTTGACAAACAAGAAAGTGATCTAATAGTATAACAACCAAGCATTATGATGCAATTCTACATTTTCCACAACTATAGAAAAGAAAGATTCTGAAAGCAAGAAAAATAAGCAGACTAGTCTATACATTTAGAAAAACGCAAAAATAAAATTCAAGTCCATGGATAAAAAAAAAAAAATCCACAAGCAAAATAAAGCAATACCACACTTATGTCTCACTTGTAGTTCTGATGACAGTATATATATATGTGTGTGTGTGTGTATACACTTATATATATGTCTATATATACACATATATATATATATTAGATTTTTAATCTCATTTCTATAGGGGTTTACAAAGCTACAACCTGATTAGAGTGATAAATTCTTAGAAAGAAAGGATATATATAACTAGATGTCACTGACAACAAAGTCAGGGATTCTATGCATATCTGCTCACTTGGGGAGGAAGCCATCCATAGACCAGAAGTTCTTTTCTACTTTGAATATTAAAATCCTTTAAAAACTCTCTGAGCTCTCAAAACCATCTCCTGAGGTGCTCAGTCCTTAAAATTTAACCTCCAGTTTCAAGCTGTTCTTTAGTCTGTTGTTCGCACACACCCTCTCTGCCTCAGGGTGCCTGAAGGCAGATGACCCTCCCTTAAATTGGCCTTGTCCTCCCAGAGGTCAGGGCTCTGTGACCATTGGGGGATGGGGAGGAGTGGCTTAAGGTTCTGCATTTCCTCCCAGAGATACTTCACTCCTATTCACGTGACCTGGGACAACTTCATCTTTCTGAACCAGTTTCAACAATTATAAAATGGGGACAATCATGCCATCGGCCTTCGGGGTTGTGGGAAGATGGGAAGTGTTAAGACCCCCCGGAAGTACTCAGTTGAGTGCCTGGTGCCCAGAAAGCCCTCAAAATGGCGCCCAACTCTGTGCTTGCTCCATACTTTCATGCTGGCGGCTCTAAATAATTCTGAATTTTCTGTCCTGTCCACGGATGACATGTCATTTTCAAACTGAATTAGGATGTCACATGTTTTATAGCTGCAAGTTTATGTAAATGGACTTTCCTTTTCTGGGGAATCTGCTATATTTTGCTAATGCTTTTTTTTCATTCACATTTTAGTATCTTGGAGCTAGGCTGTGTCTTGATGTTTTGTTATGTTAACTTAGGCTCTATCAAATCCACATGAATTTTGCTGGTTCTTTTGAAGAAAGAGGTTTTCTAGAAAGACCGACAGTCCTCAGAAGCTGTGTACTTTTGTATCATTCTTCGCGCTTTAATTCTCCCTGTGAGCCACGCGTTTGTGTCATTCTTTCTCAAGTGTCTTACACCAAGGGACACTGCTTTTTTCTTTTTTACCACCTGCATGATTTTCAAGTCATTTGATATCATTTCAAATTGATTTTGGGGGCTCTGAAGGCACAAAGTTGTGGTGGTTAGAGGTTTCTCACAATTAAGGTACCTGCAGGTACATCTTGTTTTATTGATTTTGCAGATGTTGCATTCTTCACAAAAGCTTCTACCAGCAAGAAGAACATGACTTGCTGAAGGCTCAGATGATAGTGAGCAATTTTTCACAATGAATTATATTTAAACCAAGTTGTGGTTTATTAGCCATAATGTTATTGCACATTTAGTAGATTGCAGTATAAAATAAAAGTAGGACTTATTTATCCTGGGAAACCAAAGCATTATATGACTCACTTTATGTCAACATTAACTTTATTGTGGTAAACTGAACCTACAATATCTTTAAAGAATGTTTGCATTTGGTCATTACTTTTTCAAAACTTCAGTGATACTGATGTATGTTCTGATTTTCCTAGAACTTATAGTTTTGTTTTTTAAAGTTTTTTTTTTTTCCCACAGCATAGCTTTTAATAGTGGCTCCTTTAATGCCTAAGAGTACCCTGGTTTGGCTGGTAAATTATGTGGTTGCTCAATAAAAGACCAGGGTATTTCTGAAAGTTTTGGCTCTCAAAAGTTACAGTCTAAAAATGTAATGTTATATCTTTAGCCATTGTACTTGCAATTACCTAGATAAATTCCAGAAAAACATCAATTAGTGGTAGTCAAATATTTTATCTCTTTCTTAAAGGAGATATAATTGTTAAAATCAGAGCAAATTTCTCAAGGATTAGAGGCATGTGCTGACTTTTCATTTAATGATGTGTAATCAATGAAAGCATGTTCTTCAGGTGTGTAATTAATTCAAGTTGATATAACAGAGTTTTGATTTTGGGATCACACTGATCTAGGGTTGAATTCTGCTGATGCCATTCGTTACTGGGTTTTCCTTGACAAAACTTTGAGCCACAGTTTCCTCATCTGTGTAGTGGGAGGAAACTGGAATGAAAGCTGGAGTTTTTCTGAGGCGTGGGCTTTTAATAACACATGCGAGTGCTTGGCATTAGTGAGATATCAGCCGATTTGATTAGTGATTAGATTCAAAATTCTTATCAGTCATCTGAATGATTATTTAATGTCCCCAAGTTACAGTTTTCTGGTAGTTAATGATGGTCTAACTCTATATGCTCTGATCACTGAGCACAGATTGTTGTAAGGATAAGGTATGAGTCTACATAGGAAAACATTGTTAAAACCACCTCTTTCCTTAACAAGGTTGAGTATTGCTCTTTTGTCTCTATTGTCTGCTTTCATTTGCCACATGGGCCTCAAGTGAGGGAGCGCACTGCTTCACTGCTTTGGGTTTGCAGCGTACATGCTCGGGACTCAGGTTAGGGTAAACACAGGCAACTACTAATACTCGCATTTTCTCCCCCAAAGCATTTCTTCTTTCTCATTCTATTTCTTTCTCTCTGTGTGCTTCCTCCATTTCTGTTTCCATTAATCACTTAACATTGGCTAAGTTCCTATGTATCCTCTTTCCCCTGTTTGTCTATCTACCCTTGGTTACAAGAGCACCAATACACACTGATTCTTGTTTCACTATTTAGTAAATGTATTCTTGGATAAATTAAGCTTTTAGAGCACAGGGTTATTGTTATTGTTTTAAATCTGTAAAATAGGAATAGAAAATCTATGTTAAGGATCTGTAGCCAGATTTCAATGATGGTTAAGTGTCCTTCTCTTTTAAATATTTATGCATACAAGAACTGGGGTACAGGCCAGAGGTATGGAGGGTGGGAGGATTCACCAGAGACAGAGTGGGGAGCAGAACAGGCAGATCTACTGAAACACACTGTTGATGGGAGCAGCGGGTGAGGCAGGAGAGGTTTGTCACACCATGTGGGTCACCTCCCTGGCTGGAGATGGAACTCATGATGCAGTGGTGTAGATTGCTTCACAGTGCTGTGCTTAACCTGTTGCGCCAACAGGGGGAGCCCTAAGTATCCTTTTCAACAGAGAAACAAAGACCCCCCCCTTAAATGTAGAAGGCAGAGAATTCTCTCCTGTGTGCTCAGTCCACACAACCCTGTGGACCTGACTCACCGGTGGACAATACGCCGGCTCTGCAGGTAGTCCAGGGCCAGGGCCAGCTCGCAGATGAAGAGCTTCACCGTGTCCTCCTGGAAGCGCACATTCTGCTGCAGGTGATACCTCAGGTCCCCTCCTAGCAGGAGGTCCACCACCATGAACATGTCTTCCTCATCTTGGAAGGAGTACCTGGAACAGAATTAGGGAGAGAAATGTGTCCTGTGCATTTATACAGGAAAGAGTCCCCCAGCCAGTGAGACTCGCAGATCACAGCAGCTTCCTGAGCTGAGTTCAGGCTTCGGGAACAGAGAGATGGTCTGTCCCTAGCTCTATGACTCTGAGTCCTCACTTTTCACATGTGTAAAGTGGAAGAACTAAGGATATCTACCGTATTTGATCCTAGAAGTGAGTAAGTGAGCTAAGTATATTGGATGTCATGCCTGGCTTACAGTAAGTGCACAAGTCTGCTAGTTTCTAAGAAAAGTCCTTTCCTTTAGCCCAGGAAATCAGGAAAACATACCTGCTCGTGTGTCATTAATGATCCCTTTATAACCACACTTAGAAGTAACAGAGAAGCAAGTACCCAGTGCTAGGACATAATCCCCTCCATCCTTGGGATGGAGAGGTAAGGAAAAGCTGTCACAGAGGTGAAACCCCAGTTAAATTTAAAAGGCTGGTGCCCATGAGTAGTAATGCTCACATCTGTGCATGATTCCCTGGGCAGGCTCGGTGAGCCCACATAGCACTCACTATGCATTAGCACCCAGGATACTACTCTGATGATTCCATTTCACAAAGGAGGAGAGTGAAGCCCAGCAAAGTTTAAGTAATTGGCATAAGCTCATGTACTAAATAAATGTTAGCTCTAAAGGGTTCTTTCTCCTGGTGCAAAAGAAAGATGTCAGATAGGAAAAACAGTCTGCACTAACTCCAGTTCTGGGGAAGAACACGATGTGGGTCAGAAAGGAAATCCTTAGGGTTTGTGGTCACAACAGCATGATCAGGATGCTTGAGCTGGAGAAGACAGAGGGCAGGTCCCATGGCGGATGCTTCGTCTAAGGAAGTAGACATGGGGGGACTTCGAAGGGTTTCAAGCAGGATGTACAATCTACATGAGATTCACAGTTGAAGGAGTGCAGACAGGAAGGACCGGAAGAGGAAATGAGACAGAGTAGAATAAGAATGGCCTCTTATTTACAAAGAGCTTCCTGCAGGAAGTGTGTTTGTACAGCTAGAACTTGTTTTTGTTTCCCTCCACGCACAACTCTTCCTAGTGACACTATTTTGACATGTTTCTTTTGACTTAATGTCAGTGAGATCCCGTTTTAAGGCTTTATTTCAATCAAAGAAGTATGTGCCTGCAAGCAGTGCCCAGGAATGCAAACCAATTTCGAGTGACAAATTCTTTGCTTAGGAAATGAGTGCCGAAAATCAATGAGGGGAGAACTGTACTTAGCACAGTTGTTTTTGTCCTTCATAATAATCATTGTGCTAAAGGAGAAGGAGGGGAACTGCAAGCCAAAGAAAACAGAGAAATTCACGGAGGCATAAATCTAAGATAGCGACATTCTAATGAAGACTAACAGTCCTGATGTTGAGCTGTTCAATAAATGCAATTTTGTTTACGGCTGAAGACTGATTCGCACAGGAGGTGTCAGAAATTAAGCCCTTGGGGGTTGACTTAGACGGAAACATGGGTGTTCTCATAAAACTGAGAAAAGCATCCTTGTGGATATCTCTTGGGGACGGGCTCTCAATGCTGTTACACTACCGCTGGCTATTCTCGCTCCACAGGTTTCCTGGGCAGCAGGACAGGTGTCTGACCTGGAGCACTTGGTTTACAAATTCCCCCAGTGGCATCACTACAAATTACATTCCTTGTGTCATTTTGCATGTCTTTCAGTAAGCACTAAACTATTGTGTAATCACGCCTAGTCTGTAGCCCCTAGTCTGTGCTCAGCTACAATCACAGAAGCAGAAACAACAACAGCTTAGGTGAGCTGAGCAAGGTCCTTTTATAGGGGAACCAAGGAAGGGATCAGGAAAAAAAATAACAACAATGATAAGAACAACAACAACAACAAAATTAGCAACTATAAATCAGGGACATTTTGTGAGGGAAGAGAAGGAAAAGGAATCAAAATGGGAGAGAAGGGCAGAAAGGTTGATGGTGATGAGTGAGCTGGTGAGCATGGGTGAGCTGGTGGTGGGATGTTACAGGGAATACACAGTGATGTAAAAGATACTAAAAGAATAAATTAAAAAATAAAATCACAGAAGCAATGACAGCTCATGGGACCTGAGCAAGTTGTGTTGGGTCACTGGCAAATTGGATAGGGATGGTGAGCATGGGTATCTAAAAGGGAGGAAAGTGTTACCTATAAATATTACCCAGATACCAGTGGCAACAGCCTCACCAGACTAGTTGGTGAGAGGCGTTGGCCCAACCCAGCTCCCCTGCTGGGGGAGGGTGAGCTCAGCACTGGGGCAGCGCCCAGGACTACTCTCCTGTGACCCCATTTAACTCAAAGGTGGTGGGGGGTGTTCATAGTTTTTAAAAATTTACCTGAATGAATGAACAAAATGTTTTTGGGAACTTGGATGAAACTATTTTTACTCAAGGAACAGACAGATTAAGGCGCCAGTCACAGCAAGTTAATATCAGTGTTCCGCCACAGGGATTATTAATCAAAGGCAAGAAGCAACTTGCTTTCTTTGCCCAGTATAAATATACATCTAATCAAGGAATCAGGATTGGCTGCTAAAAATCACCTTTATGCTTTGTACACCAGATCTGATGTCCTCCTATTGCATATCCTAAACTATCAAAGCTGAGAATTTTATTTTTTTAACTAGATCCTGTATGATATAGTTTGGTGCCCAATACAGTTTGGTGATAACTGGAAGATGCAAAGTCATATCATAATATGATTTTCTTAAAAAATCAAAGAGGAAGAGCTTCCTCATATCTCACCATCTATCCTATAGATTCATGCTGCATTTCTGTAATATGCTATATCATGGCTTATTTAGTTCTTAGTTGACAGCTCCAAAATTAGTAAGTCTGATCCCACTGTATGTGAAATACATTGCAGACTGTGCTCCTTAAAAGAGAAGATAAATAACAGAGACTACAACTTGACTGTTTTATATAGACTCTCCATTATAGCAGTAGAGAGAGGGGCTATTTCCCCCAAGACTCTTGGTTTTGGGCTGGTGGAACAATCAAATTAATATCAGACAGGTTAGTAGGAAAAGAAAAAAAAATAATTACAACTGTATGGAGAATCTAGGCAGATGCAGATTATAAAGTCAATGGGCAAACTGAAGGTCTATGCCCTGAGTTAAGGAATGGACGAGGGGCCCAGGGTTTCAAGGAGAGAGGAAGAGGATGACTCATGATGAAGACCACAGCTCTGTAATTAGATGTCCACCCTACCATCTAGAAAGATTTCTTGGATAGAAATGTTATTTCTGCTAAATTCCTAATTCTGGCTAATACTCCCCATTTTCAACTTTTAAATAGTTAAAGTGGGGATTAGAGTTTCTTATGGGTCTAGAGGACTTCCTTGACCTCAGATCAAAATAATCCTCATGCCAAAGTGCCACGGCTTTGGGGAGGTCTGTTCTTTAGTTTGACTCACACCATTCGTTGAGTTTCCATAGCTTTGTCTGTAGAAGCTTGGACCTCTCCGTTGTACATACAGAAGTAGTCACTTCAAAATGTGAGTTATGCTCTAGTCCTGTAAAGCCCTTCACCTCTTCCCATGGTCTACAGGATCCTCCACATTCTGGCCCCTTACTTTTCTAGACTCATCTCGAAGATCTTCTTCCACTCGTCAACAAATAACTGTGCCTCTCCAGCCTTAGGCACCTGTGACGTGGAATCACCTGAGCCTGCACTCGCACGCTAGCCTGCCTGCTTATTTTCTATTCATCTTTCAGTCTTAGCCCAAGTGTCATCTCTCATAGAGACATTTCTAATGCACTGGATTAAATTGGGTTTCCCTGCTACCTACAAGGCCATAATCTTACTCCCAAAAATCTATCATCATTTGAAAATATCACAATTAGAATTTGAAGATATGCACCTTTGATGAACTGTTTTCATTTCTTCTGCACCATCAGGATGCAGGACTACTTTTACTCTGACTATTCAGTTTAAAAAAAAAAAAAAAAGAGCACCATTTCTACAAATAAACCACAAGTAATTATAGAAAAACGAGTAAATTAGTAAATGAGGGGCTCTCCCTGGTGGGGCAGTGGGTCAAGGCACTGCATTGTGAAGATCTAGAAGCCACCTCTGGCCTGTACTCCAGTTCTGTAAACATAAATAAATAAATCTTAAAAAAAAAAGGGGGGGGCCCTCCCTGGTGGTGCAGTGGGTTAAAGCACAGCACTAAGAAGCTAAAGCCACTTCAGCATGAGTTCCATCCCTGCCCCAGAAGTGATCCACATGGTGCAGCAGACCTCTCCTGTCTTACCCACTGTTCCCCTCAGCAGTGTACTTCATCAGTCAGCCTGTTCTGCTCCCCACTCTGCCAGGGGCCTGCACTTCTGGCCTGTACCCCAGTTCAGGGGTAAATAAATAAATCTTTAAAAAAATAGTAAATGAACAAATAAATGAAAGAAGAAAAGCAAGGCTTAAATACAAGTTTGGGGTAGGGCTAAAATAAATTCCCTACGTTCTATTTTTAGAAATTAGCATGATTACCAAGTACATGGGAAGAAGTGGCAACTGGGAGCTGTGTCATGGTGTACTCAAGGCAGACCTGAATCTGAGCATCAGAAAAGATCTAAAATACTCTTGATGCTGTGGCTTTCCAACTATGGCTCATAACAACTCGTAATGGATATTGAAATCAGCTTGGTTGGGACGAGCACTTTTTCTAAAGAAATGGATTGACCATGTAGAAAAAATGCAATGAACCCGTAAGGCTAAACGTTTTGAAACTTCTGTTTTCATGAATATAATGTGGGTCTCCAAGTGACCTACTATGTTAGGCTGAAATATGTATTTCTCCTGAGGAAGTACAACCATGACATTCGGGGTGGGCGCCTGATTGCAGAGCTGTTGCATCAAATCCTCCTTCAGACGCTTCCTGAGCATGGTCAGTTCTGACATCCCCACCGAGCAGAGCAAGGGAAATGAATGATTCAGTATGGCACCTACAGGATGTTGGGTTCAG